CTCTTGTAACCGGAGGGCCCATCGAACCAGGCGACTGTTCGGGCTCTGGATATTAAACAGCCAGCAAAGGCTGTGGTGGTCAGTCCACACAGTAACCTCCCGCCCCAGGAGGTAGTACCGGTATTTCTCACAGGACCACACGATAGACAGCAGCTCCCGCTCTGTCGTGGAGTAGTTTCTTTCCGCCGGAATGAGCCGGCGGCTTCCGTAAGCAATGACACGCTCACGGGATTCCGAGTCACGCTGCACCACGACGACCCCAATCGCGTACCCGCTGGCATCCGGGTGGATCTCCGCCGGAAGTTCGGGATTGAAGTGCACCAACACTGGTGCCGTTGTCAGGGCACGCTGGAGCTCGGCAAAGGCATTCCGCTGCTCGGCCTGCCAGCTGAAAGGGACGTCCTTTTTGGTCAGTTGAGTCAGCGGTGCGGCGATGTCCGAGAAACCCCGGATGAACCGGCGGTAGTAGGCGCACAGCCCGAGGAATGATCGAACCGCTTTCAGGTTCTCAGGTACCGGGAACCGGAGGATCGCTTCGACTTTGTCCGGGTTCGGCCGGATTCCTTCCTGGGTCGCGGTGAATCCCAGTACCTGGACCTGGGACTTCAGGAAGTGGCACTTGGAGGGCTTGAGCACGAGGTTGGCTTCCCGGAACCGTTCCAGGACTGCCTCGAGGGCATCCAGGTGCTCGTCCAGGGTCATGACTACATCGGTGTATGGATCCAAAGGAGGCCGGCCAGGACGGAGGACATCGCACGGCAGAGTGGCTCCGTTGCGGGGCGAAGCACATGACTTCATATTCGTAGAAGCCTTGACCGGCCTGGAACGCCGTAATGGCTTTGCTTTCTTCGGCCAAGGGGACCTGCCAGAACCCACTCTGCAGGTCCATAGTCGTTATGTACCGCGCACCGGCCAGGACCTGAAGGCAATCATCCACCCGCGGGAGTGGGTACCGGTCGGGCACGGTAACGGTATTGACCCCACGGAGGTCCGAGCACAGCCGCCAGGACTTTCCTCCCTCCTTAGCTGCGAGGATCACTGGGGAACTCCAGGGACTTCGGCTGGGCCGGATGACTCCCATGTCGAGCATCTCAGCGACTTGACGCTCGATCTCGGCAACTTCCCTCGGTGCTCTGCGGTACTGGTTCCGGAATATGGGGCGGGTCCCAGGAATCAGCTCAATCCGGAATGGGTCCACTCTGGCATGGCCCATGGGTCGGCCTTCGGTGTGGAACAGGTCTGCGTACGCTTCAAGCAGGCATTGCGTTGCACGGAGACCGTCCATTGTATCGGCATCTCCAATGTCGAAGGAGGTGACCGGCACCTGAGGCCATGCGTACTCCCATCCGGACAGGTCCATCTCGGCCCCGTCCTCGTAGGAAAGGGACAAGACCTGGTGATGACGTAAAACACTGGCTCCGGGCGACTGTCCAAGGAGCGTTACCATAAGGTTCGACACCCGAGGCTGCGTTCCCCGGGCATCCCACAAACGTACTGGACCGCTATTATGATAGCCTACTGTCATAGTAGCTAACTTACCGGTGCCCTTTGCCGGTTTGACCACTGCTATCCCCGTTTCAGACTTCGGCTGGACACTGTCCGCCTTCAGGATCCGGCCCTCTGCGAGGTCCAGGAGGATCCCGGGCAACCGCAGCACGTTACAACCGATGACACAGTCATATTTTCCCGCGCCGAAGTGCTCGAAAATAATGAACGGCACTTCCTGTTTCAGTCCGTTCACCTCCACGACCAATGGCAGCAACCCGGAAGTCTTGACAATCCGGTTGTCTGCGACCGTGACGTCCATTGCATACGGCACCGGCTTCTGACCCAGCCCCTTCGCGAAGCTCTGGTTCAGGATGGAGATGCTCGCTCCGGTGTCCAACAGGGCCAATGCGTCACGTCCGGCTAGCTTGATGTCCATGAGGGGAATTTCACCGGAAACTGGAATTGGCTCCGTTCCTCCCGTGAACGGCACGTGGCTGTCAACGATGTTGTTGGCTTCCGGTCCGGTGGTGGTCACCACGTTGAGGTGGTACGGATGGTCCAGGTCCATCGTTGCATCCGCCCAGCCGGGTGGCACGCCGGCCAGATGATGCCAAACGGTGGATCGTGCATTCACGTACGCGTCAATTGGGTCCGTCCCTTCGTCCTGGACGACCGATCCGTGCTCAGGACTGGTGGGCGTTACGCGGCGCCGCTGGTTACTCTCTCTTGCCCCACCTCCTCCAGCAGTAGACGACGTACTTCGGGGCACCCGGTGCATCGTCTCCGTGCCCCTGCTGGCTCGCTCCACGACCAGCGTATTGCTCCTCCGTGGTGCTACCTTACTGCGCGCTCTATTGTAGCACTGCCACGTCGGCCGACGTGACCCTAATCGAAGCGGAACGACTCCCGGCGGCATGTCCGGCTGGCCAAGCCAGACCTGCCATCCATACTTCGCTCCCGGCGGAGGCTCAGGATTTTCTCCCGAGATTTTGAACGCGCCGAACGTCGGGGCCCATCCGTGTCGTCAGCATATCTTCGCGACAGGCTCCTTCGGCGCTTCTCCGTGCTGCTGTCCGTACGCCAGCGACGCGCCACCTCGGACACGGTGGCGGTACTGAAGCCCAGGTAACCTCGCACACTGAACAACTCGAAACTGGAAAGGTCATACGGGTCCGGACCCTCCAACATGGCTCCGTCTGCACATATGACTCGTTTCCCAGCGGTTACCCCGTGCCACTGCCAGCATGTGCACCGGATGTCGTAGCTGGCTCTGCAGGATACCCCGCGTGTACTTCTCAGAACCTTCCTCAAAATGTGCGGCACGGCCGTTGTACGTGCCGACTCGCATCATATTGCAGGTCGCTGCTCCGTTGGCTTGACCCACAGTGTCCATTCCAAGTCCCATTGTATACCACACAGGCTTGGTGCCGGGCTCCGTAACCCACTTAGTGTTGACCTCCAGGTCCGCACCGTTCGCACAGGCCTGTTCCGTACCGACATTGGCGTCCAACGCGGTGACCTTTGCTTCCTGCTGACTCACGATGAGGGAGCGCGCTGATCCAGACCCACCGGTTTGGTTCTTTGGCTGGGTGGTGGGTTTGTTCTTGGGGCAATTGCGTGCAAGATGGTCAGTCCTGTCGCAGTTGTAGCATTTGCGGAGCGGCCGCTCGGTGACCTTTGACTGACCGGCCGTACCAGCATGTCGATCATCCCCCTGGTTACCACCTCAATAACCGCGGTAACGGTTGCGACCGTTTCCTCCGTTGCCGTTCGCATTCCCTCCACCGTATCCTCTTCCCCCAGAACCATTTCCGTTCCCACCCCCGCTGTACGTAACCTCGGGATAGTGACCTTTCCATTCCGCGTTGCGATTCTTTGCCTCTAGGCGCAGAATGTTGGACACACGCTGCATCGCGGATAGGAATTCCGTTGGTGTGGCCACATTCGTTGAGGCTAGACGAGTTAGGTATTCGGGTAGCAATCCCGCCTGCAGCTTATGGATGACTTCGTCGTCCTCCATGTCGCGGTTGATCTTGTCGCACAGACCAACGATGTCATTAAAATAGTCTTCGAGAGGTTCTCCGCGCTTCTGCTTGCGGTTGCGTAGCTGCTGCTTCAGCTGGTTCCGATAATCCTCGGTCTGGAATCGTTTGATGAGCGCTTCCAGGAGCTGGTCGGATGTGGCATATGGTTTCTTGCGGCCATCGTCGCTGACCTTTCCCCACCAGGTAGCGGCGAAGCCGTCCAGATACACCGGTATCTGGCGTAGCTTTTTCGCTTCATCCCACTCCAATGCGGCCACGACGGTCTTAAACCGGCGCACCCATTGGTCAACGTCCTCACCGGCTTGTCCCTTGAACACCGGTGGCTTTGCGTCGGTACCTACTGTCATGGTTGAAAATTCCTGCGCCAACGCCTTGGAGTCTAATACGATACTCCTCCCCGTGGGATCCGCTGCGCTGGATATCGGTTTGCTGTCGCCGGTAGACATGGCAATTTGTTGTGGATTAATCCGTAAATAATCCAAACACACACAGTATAATAACAGCTGTTAATTCCAGATGACAAAGGTCAGCACCACAAACTGCAGCACTGATTGCTGATAAAGGTCACCGTGTGACCACGGAATTAATAATTTAAACTACCGTAGAACGCTTCCGTTCCACGGTTTCGGCACCAATGAAACCTCAGTGCCGCAGGTGGTTAAAGAAACCGTGTGTGTTTACTGTTACGCCGCTGCCTACTTGCGCGAATAAACGATACGTTATCGTTTTTCTAACTTTAATCAACTAACTCAGCCAAAGCACCAGTAGGAAAAGGAAAGTAAAAGTTCGATAAAATGAAAGAGAAACAAACGCTTATATCCGATGGAAAGCGACTGCACCAAATATACGAATACGGTCTACCGTGCAATCAGTCCGCAGCAAAGCTGGACCATAAAACTTGCAACAAACACTCATCCGCACTCATCCGCACACATACGCCAAATTATATCATAAAACACAATTGCCAAACAGCGTTCAGGCACGAACACAAAGATACAATTTTGACTAATAAAATAAACGGTAATGATTATATTGCGTCCTTGGACAACCGCTGGCATGGTATGCCGTATATGGTCACTGGCCGCTTGCCGGGTAACAACGGCGAATCGATAACAACAAACGAATACGCAAAAAAAAGAACATTAAACAAAATCCACGAGCACAATAAAAAAGTGGAAACAAATCCCTTTTCTGCCAGCGACATAATTCACACAAAGCAAAAAAAAATCAGAAAATTAGTCCATCAGTCACAGTTTCATACAATTTGCCTGGACCAAATTTCTCTACATAAAAATTTGGAAAAATCCATACGTAATCCTGAGTACACGACGACAAATTATTAACAAAAGTAAATAAAAACGTCTAAAAATAACTAATAATTAATACAAAAAATATCAAATAAATCAAATTTAAATAAACCAGTTCGCAGAAAAAAGTGTCGCTTATGCAGAAGTGTGTGAATTGTACCTGTCGGGCGTGCGTTTCGACGCGCTGCTGATAGGGCAGACATCCGACGAGCCGGAGCCGGACCGCTGCCGTTCCCGGCCGCCCTCGGCGCTGCCGCCCTTCAGGCTCGTGCTGCTGTTGCGGCGCTCACGCGATCCCTGCGGGCCATCCGTTTTCACAATCTCCAGCGAGCGCACCTTACGCAACAGCCACGTGAACCATTGATACCTATCATTAGAAAATTAATTACAGATTAAAATGCAACAAACAGCGGCGTATGCAAAATACACCACACATCAAGTACTAAAAAAACAATTCATAAACAGCATCGTTGTACGTGTAAACTCTCGTATAATAAATAAAAAAACTGAAAATACGTCTACACAAAAACTGCAGCAAACTACACAAAAAATGTATAACCGGCCGACAATTCAATTTTTTTAAATCAAGCACAAAATATTTAAATAATTTTAATTTTGCTGCCGCAGTAATCAACTATTCAGCGATTAAAAGGTAATTAAAAGGAACTTTTTTCTGATGTTATTCAGTAATTAAAATTGCAATAAATTCACGAAACATTCCAGATAAAGCCGATTTATTTTTCCAAATTTTTAACAAAACCTATCTAATTTTATAAATTTTTTATTACATCGCTAAACGCAGGCACCGCTAAACAGTTATCAAATTTAGGCTACATAAAAATGATGAAACACTAAAAACGATGAAAACCATAGAATCTCGTTTTAAACAACAATTAATAAGAATTCACGAAGCGAGCGATTCCAGAGCGAAAACCATACCAAAAATAGTTTACTTAATCTCTGAAGTTTATTTCGTAGAAACGTCTATGCCAACATCGGGATATCAACAAGAGAAAATTTGAAATCTTACTCAGCAACGCGTCCCAGGAAGAGCACATCCTTCTTGTCCAGATCCAGCTGCTGCAGCATCTCGTACAAACTGTCCGTCTCCGTGTCATACTTGCCGCTGCCTTCCCCCTCGAACGTCACCGAGGTGGACCGTTTCACCGTGGGACCGTCCATGGCGGAGACGGAATAGTCCAGTTTCTGCATGGCACTGCGGATTCCCTTGCACTTGTCAGCTGGAGTATTCGTGTTGCTGCTGCCAGCTGTTGGTACAGACTCGCCTGCATTCTGCATGGTCTGCGCAGCTGCAGGCGCGTGCCTCGATGGACCACGATAATCCGCTGGTTATCGGATCAACGATACGTTGGATTAGGCAGTTAATTAACTGCAATCAGCAACTGGACTTTGTACAGACGAGACTCAGAGAGTGTAAAACAAAAACAGAAATATTCTGAAATAATCTTTGAATTCACAGTTAGTGTCAACTGGCAAGCAACATTTTGCAAGTGCAGCGCAGCACTGGTTTTCTGTAGCACTGCCGCTCGGTGGCGGGAGGCCCGTCGCTAAAGCGGAAGCGTTGAAACATGTTTCGCCTTCCGCCTTGGAATCTTTTCTGTCGCTTAGGGAGCGCTGCCACGCCCATTGTACTTTGCAAGTTTGAAGTATCTGTAACCTTTTTCTGTGTTTTGGATAGTCTAATGAGTTTCTTCTTGCTGATTTTAGCGATTTCTAAATCTTCCCTGATCAAAGTGATCAGCGGGCCCTTGGGACCGGTCACCCGCCTGACCGCCGCCTACTCCCCCGACTGCCCCGCGCTGGCCACCGGAGATTCCGTCCTCCTGTCGCGCCAGGCGTTTCGGCACCGTCGTCACGACCACCTGCTCCGTGGGATACGAATTCGGTGAGTTTTATCCTTCGCTCACTGTCCTCTTTCTTTCCACTTATTTACTGCAGAATGTCAGTTTCTCACTCGCATCTGACATTAATTCGGTCGTAACTCCGAAGGCTGTTTGTTTGCTCTGTGTATACGCTTAACAAATGACTATTTTTCTTGTGATTTAGGAGAATACTCTGGAAAGTAAATTCAAAGCCGGTTTAAAGTGATCTTCCGTTAAAATTTCGTCGTGCTTGGTTGATCAACATTTTAGTTTGTTTAGGCACAAATATGCGATACTACAGTTCACACATGTTACCAACAGTATCGAGCGGTGTTAGATCGGCGCAGAAAATTGGAATCGCTGTCAAGCAGCTGAACGACGCTGTCTTTAGGAGATTTGGCAGCAACGATGCGATTGACATTCTGCTTTTCAGCGCCATGTACTCGCTAAAGTATTAGTCCACAAAAGGATCTCAAAGGTCAATTTACACGAAACTTAAGGTGTAATAAAAATGACAAATTCGCATCAATTTTGTGTGGAAGATATTGATGCACATCTGTGCCATTTTTTAAACATTTCTGTAGTTTATTTCATTGTTAACAAAATCACAGCATCGCTGCCAACAAAAACAACATGGGGCATGGTCAATAATGACCCGCCAATCTAAAAGCTAAGAAAACGTCCTCGTTCTCTCTCATGTCGTTAAAGGTTCCGAGGACAGACACTGCACTTCCTCGTAGTGATTTGTATTACGGTTATACTCTTCAGTTTTCTTACGCTTATATTTTACGGTTAAACCCGCAATTTTTTGTTTGGCTCGGCAACCAAAACTGATGCATACACAAGGCACAGAGAGACAACGAGGATGCTTTTTTAGCATTTAGATTCGCTGGTCGGGAATAATTAGACCGATGTTGTTTTTCTTGGCAGCTTTGCTGTGATTTTGTTAACAATGAGTTAAAGTGCTGTGTAATCAATGACGATCACGCAGCACTCCAGCTGTCAGGGCCATGAGGCTGGAGGGACTGCAGAGTTCTTCGAGCCACATGTAGGTTGTATCGGACAGCGTCTGGAAACTGGATGCATCCACGTGGTGGTCGTATGTCTGGAAAAGCTGATCCATCAGTCGCTGAAACTGCAAAATATACTCAAAACTTAATCGGGGCAGATGTACCATCAAGTTTTTACCGACCACATGAAATTTGGCGTCATCCGAATTTGGCTGAGCACTTGTGCTAGGAAGAATGTCCAGCATTTCTGCAGCTGCGTCTTGACTTCTGAAACCACAAGCCGGAAATACCGAGTATAACGAGATTTTCCAGTCATAACCCAGCGGTTAACCCGAACAAGCTTGTGGACAAGAGCGTTTCTCTTTTGTCACATGCGTGCTCCGACTGGATAAAAGGGACAGGTTTTCTTCTCTTACGCTTTAATGATCTCCATTTCAGCCAGGGTTTGTCTCAGTCTTTGCAGTTCTCCCTTCTGCTCTTGGGTGACTTCCTCCAGAGCCTTTATAGTATTCATTGCTGTTAACACCAGATGCGCCACGGTTAAAGTTCCCAAGTAACTCAGCAGCGCAGCACTTCCATAACGCAAAGCCTGGTAAAGCCGTACCTTCCTCTAAAATTTTTGAACCTCGCAGCTCTGTGGCGCCATCATTGGGCACCACTTCGTTCTTTAAGTCCCCCAAGGCAAGCTGGAACCAAACAAAAGCAGATTACTGCGTAAGAAAACTGCTCGTGGAGCAACCAGAAATCATGATCAAGCTTGTAGTCACAATTTTCTTGATGGACATTTGTCTCGGCCGCTCAGTTTCAGTTACAACTCCTTTCTAGCTCTGCGATATCTAAAAAAATGCATTCTTTTCAAATGTTAAGACTTCTGAAAATACATTGACCGTGCAGCCCTTTATTCCAAGTGGAAATAAGTAAATTAATCCATCAACGATAGAAAGCATGGTTAAAACACGAATTGGAACAAGTTCTCCCGCATATTTGAAAAGCAAATTGATAAGTAAATTAGGTTGCATGTACGTCACTTGACGTCCGTTTTCTAAACTCGACGTCCGTCCGCCGAATTCTTTAAAGAAAGCAAACTGGAAAAGTAAGTACCTTGATCCCTCTAGGGCGCATTACATCAGCGTTGTTTCCCTTTCTCCGTTTTGCGTGCTGCCAGTTCGCTTGGCTAATCATAACCACATGTTTCCGGATCTTCATCCTTGACAGGACATTGCAGTGACCTTGTGCGACGCTGTCCCAAAACAGATACCGTCCCGGACATTACAGCGCATTTGCCGTTGTTTTTGATGGTCTAGATCGTCTTTCAGAGATGCTTCATTAGCAGGTTTCCGGGCGCTTCCCAGACGAAACTCAGTTCCTAGCAAAATCCAACCACTTCAGACCACGTCAGCTTTGTGTTTCTCGTAAATGTGAATTTAGTATTTCGTTCTGATATACGAGTAAGACATAATTATAATATTACAGGAACACAGCAAACCAGATTATGATGGTATTAATTTTATAACAACTTCTCCTTAAAGCTTTCGTTGAGTATCTACAAGCACGGAAAAACTTAATTGTCTACGCGTGTAGTTCAATAACTGCGGTAGAAGCTTGCTGATGGCATGGATAAAAATAATATGTATGTACTACTACTTACTGTACTTGTGTGTGCCTCGTAGACAGCAAAACCGGTTTTTAATTTCGGCGTGCATGTGAGATTGTACATACAGTACTCGTACGATTGTGTTGTAACAACAACTATGTAATAACCAAGTATGTACGCACATACGGGTATCGGATTGTGTAATAGTAGGTGTGCGTACTGTGTATGGAAGTTTAATACAACGATATCACTAAAAGGCGTCTCGAGTGTACAAATAGACATTCTCCGGATAAGTTTAAAGAATAATTCTTCGCAGCTGGCTCCATAACCTCGAATAGATACAATAAAATGTGGGGTTCCTGTTGAATGACGACGAACGTTCGTATTTATCAAACTGGGTAACCTTTAATAAGTATCACGGTACGAGTGCAAACTATGCACCAGAACAAAACGGCATTTACAAAAGAAACACTTCCACTTCCTCGTATTTATGTGCATGGCACCATACGGAAGAAGGCCTTTCACTCCTGTATACGCCGGCACTGTCGGCATAAAATTTTCCGCAAGCAGTTGCAAATTAAGTCCAGGCGAAAGGCGTGGCTAGTGTGGTCACGTGAAAAGCGACAACAGCGCCGCGGCGTTTCAGAGGGTAGCCGCAAATTCATGCAGTAGCCACAGGCTAGCTAAAACCATGGCTTGCAGTTTGATATGTAGTGTTGCCCATAAAAAACTTAAATTTTCGGAACTTCATGTTATTATCGTTTTGATTTGCATCGTGTATCTAAACTGTGATAGCATACTACAAAAGAACAACAGAAATCTGAATTCTTATCGTTCTTTACAGGGTCAAATTTGAACAGGTAATAAGTTTTGCTTGATCCTAATTTACCTGTTTTGTGCATAATTTTATTGTCAATAATGTGATTTATGCTAGACTGTGATTTATGCGGAAACAAGTAAGTTATCAAATAAATTACCGCAGGTTTAAATTCGAGTGTTAACGCTGCACCGAAGTTCTCGTGTTATCAAATATTGAAATTATTTCGCGTTTTTTGGAGAGTACATTTTCTAGGCGTCAAATCGCTTGTACGGTTAAAAATTATTTGTCCAAACATGCGCAATCTTCGGATTCATCTTTAACGCTGTATGCATTAAAAACTGCGGATTTTACTTTTGTATCTACCAGTGAAAATACTAGGGTAGTGATGTTAGTTAAAATATACTTTAGAGTACACTGTATACAACATTACCTCGAACCATATTAAATTTTTATATCCTGAATGTATGCCATGCGCTATAAAGAACTATAATGGTTATATATGCATTAATTATCTACTGTACATGTTATATGCCAAAACACACTTATGAACAGTTTGCAGTTAGTAATTTTCATGATGTTATTGTTGTTTATTTAATTTGCGACAAAGCATCAACAAAAATTCTGTTGTGTGCCGTGCCACAAAGACAAAAGGGCACCGTATTCAGAACTTAGCAAACAGTTTACAAGCACAATACGTGCTTCATCATTGCAGTGCCTGTGTGTCTGAAAATATCCGCCCGAAATGAGTGCTGCTGTATGGTGGTGCATATATAAGCGTTTAACTACAGATCGTGGGCCACAACAGCCACGTTGTGCTTTTCAGAGTCGAAAACAGTATGCAGATTGGACATGTGTGAGTCACTGACCTGGCCATTTTTCTGTGCATCTGTCATACCTAAAATTTTTTTGTGGTATTATTTGGATAGAGAATTTAAAGCTGCACAACCTTTTTCTCTGTATTTTTGCTTTACAACGCAATACAGAGCGTACACAGGCCAAAATTTGCTTGGACATCGCACATTTCCCGTAGACGTCCATGTTATAGAAACTGCTGCAACCCTCTGAAATCGCTCGAAAGAGGCAGACCATATAACACCTCATTAGGGTTCTGCCTGAACCTAATTAGAGAATTCCAGCGAAAATTCTATGATTCGTTGGGCAGGGGGTAAAACGTGGCAGTGGCACCTGCCAGTGGCACTGCCACTGGCATGGCATGCGATAAAAGCTGGAGTCTCTGGCAACTGGCAAGCGATGAAACCTTGGCAGATATCCCATAAAATGTGGCACCGCACGTAGGAAGCACCTTCGGAATGGTTGGTCAACCCTATAATTTTTGAAAATGTTGCCAGCATACAGTCAGTCTATCATGTACAGCGTTAACAGCACCGGCCAAGTGCGGGAGTAAATGAGTAAGAACTAACTCAAAATTTGCAACACATCGCATTTTGTCGTCTGCGCAAAGTGTCAAATAAAAAAGGATGACAAGCAATGTTAAAATTGCGATCGCCACACTTGCTGAAGGCTCACCTCTGGAAGATGCTTTACGACGGAATACGGTGTTCAAATCATCTAATTACTGAGGTTCAGCGTTGAGTACAACCTAGAAAACCTATGAATAAGTACTAAGTGTAAGCCTAAATAGAAACAACTTAAGATACCGTGTTTACAACAAGTGGAACTACATGATTCCCACTGTTGACGCTGTGACTACAGTAACGAAAAGCAAGGACATGATCTGAACTCTGAAGTAACGTAAAGTGTCGTAGGCAGATTTTATAATACTGTTTTGGTATTCACGTGGTAAACCTATCAAGGAAAAGATCTATATTACAACGGAAAACCCCGTACGATCTGGTCAGAACAAACCAAAAACTTAATCGAAAACTGTTAACGCCATTCGATTCAGAATGTCTGGAAACCGTGTCACATGCATTTTGTTTTAATAACTATCCGCTCCGACTCCCGTTCACAGACGCCGGTGCCTGTAGAGCTGAAAGCACAAGGTGACCTTGAAAATAATTTCAGAGTCCGGTTGCATGGAGCACAAAATCAGTAAATTTAAAATGGCACCTTTTTAGATCAGCAAATTAAAAAGGTTTTAACTTTACTCTACAAAACTAAAACAGCTACTCGCTAGCCAGTTAGTACTAACACAAACGATGCTGCCAATGGATGGCTTAATTTCAGTAAATCGTAACAATTTAAAGCGCTCAAAAACATGACGTACTTTGTAGGAATAAGAACGCTCGTTAAAAGCCATTCGAAAGCAGCTGTAAAAGAAACTGACCATAGTAATCGTCAAACGACCTTTCATTACAATGGTGCAGTCCGAGCAAAACTAAGGACAGTGATTAAGCAGCAAATACAGTAGTAACAGTACATCCATATCTGTACGGTCCGTAAAATTAATATTTCCGCATAATACGGAATAAATTTGATTCGTCAGATCAGAAAATGCCAAACCGACTGAACTGCTCAGATCGGAAAATTATATTATCGATCGAGCCAAACGAGTGGTAACGAACGAGTAACTGAGCTACCACTACTGGAACTGCACATTGCATGTGAGTGACCGAAGTACCACTATTCTCGTGTGCCGGTAGGCGAGTGGGTGACCGACCTACTAAAATTAACCATTGCGCACCGCCTGCTGGGTGTGTACGTAACGAAACAGTGGTCGTGAGTAACTGAAGTATCAATACTGTTCACTGCACACAGTGAATGACCAATTTCTATTACTGTAAAATGCGCACAGCCGACTGAGAGTTTGTGTAATTACCAAATTACCGTTATTTTCTTGAGCGCAAATCGTGATAGCTTGGTGAAGAACTGAAGTAACACCACTGTTTAGTGCATAATTATAGTAATCGCAAATAGTGCACGCAGTAATAGTGAATTAATCAAAATCATTCGAGAAACCGACCGCAGACCACTGTGACAGCAGGCGAACAAAGGCTCACGATAGTGAGAAGGCTTTATTGTGAATAGCAATAAAGTACAGAGAACCAAAACACAAAGGCTCGATGTGAGCTGTAGATCAGAAATCACCGAATGTCAGCTAGTGAATGAAAATGAATGGCACATCGAGCCATAACATGGGAAAAAGCCTAATGCGGCACTGGGCAGATCCAACACGAGCGAACGAACGCTGATAGGCCGAGATGTGGAAAGGAGGCGTGGCTCCGCCTACATCGAGGCCGATGATTGGCCGAGACGAAAGGCTGGGCGGAAAGCTACCTGAGTCGAGGCCGATCTAGCGCTCGACGGCGAGTGCGACTCGGTGTGAGTCAGCACACCGGAAGCGGGACTGTCGCTGGCTGCCTACTCGTAGGCTGCCATAGCGACTGGCCCAACATGCCTCTGGGCGGGAGTCCGAGCCCCTGCGAAGGACCGGCCTCGTACCGCTCCAGTGCCCGCTCCGCACACGACCCTATTGGGGTCGGTGGCTGCGCCTCGGGGGTGTCCGATGACGAAGGTCTCTCGGTGCCGCGTTCTCCTCCGGACCCGTGGTGGCGATACAACTCACGGCCGAAATCCGAAGGTCGGTCGGTGGTGTTGTTGGACCGGTGTAGGCATCTGTTGGTTGTATCCGCAACGGCGAAAAAGTAAAAAAAATAAAGTAATAAAGTATTATTCCATTTCTCTCTCTCTCTCTAGTAAAAATAACATCACAATTCCTGGTGAGCAGGTTAGTGAAAAGATCAATAAAATTGAGAACATCATTTCGAGATTAAAAAAAAAGTAAACTCAAAGTCTTTGGTCCGGGGCTTTGGTCCGGGTGCTCATTCCGACTAGAGCTGATCCGCTCACGGGGGGCTCCAGTCCACAGGATATCCGGCCATCTAGGTCCTAGGCATCAGTTCTCGGGATACCAAGTGGTACCGGTTCATTTCACCGAGGTCGGAGGTTCGACCCTCGAGGTCAAAGTTCGACCCTATCAACTTCGGGTAAAGGTATGGATCTCCATTGTCGGGTGTGAAACGGGCGTGAAACACACTTTCCGACCAGGATCCTCCGGTAAAAGTTCGCTGGGAACCTCCGTTGCCGGGTAAGATAGCTCGTACTTACATCCAGCCGAGGTTCATCGGGTAAGGTTGATGGAGAGGCACCGTCGCATCCGCGAATACCGTAAGGTACCCTC